GGCACTCGCGAAAAGGTTTCAAGATGGGCGTTGAGCAGTTTTGAAACTGAGTGCATTTGTATTTGTACTAAACTGTTACATTTTTGATTTTTCAGTTTGATTATAAATACAACAAGACTTTTGAAAAACTATTTATAAAACAAAAAGCCAAGGACATTTTATTTATTTTCATAAGAGCATTATATATCTACAGTTACGAATCTGATTAATATGATAACACAGGTATTTAGAGACTAAGAGCACATTGTGCTCAAAACATACCTCCATAATGTTTGTTTCACTTGTTGTAGAATCTGTTGTCCTAAACTGTTTAATCACATTTTGTTATGTGAGGGTGGGGTGTCTTGCCATATACTAAGGGGTGTTGGGGGTCTTGCAATATACTAAGGGGTGTTGGGGGTCTTGCAATATACTAAGGGGTGTTGGGGGTCTTGCGGTATACTAAGGGGTGTTGGGGGTCTTGCAATATACTTAGGGGTGTTTGGGGTCTTGCAATATACTAAGGGGTGTTGGGGTCTTGCAATATACTAAGGGGTGTTGGGGGTCTTGCAATATACTAAAGGGTGTTGGGGGTCTTGCAATATACTAAGAGGTGTTTGGGGTCTTGCAGTATACTAAGGGGTTTTGGGGGTCTTGCAATATACTAAGGGGTGTTGGGGGTTTTGCGGTATACTAAGGGGTGTTGGGGGTCTTGCAGTATACTAAGGGGTGTTGGGGGTCTTGCAATATACTAAGGGGTGTTGGGGGTCTTGCAATATAGTAAGGGGTGTTTGGGGTCTTGTAATATACTAAGGGGTGTTGGGGGTCTTGCAATATACTAAAGGGTGTTGGGGGTCTTGCAATATACTAAAGGGTGTTGGGGGTCTTGCAATATACTAAAGGGTGTTGGGGGTCTTGCAATATACTAAGGGGTGTTGGAGGTCTTGCGATATACTAAAGGGTGTTGGGGGTCTTGCAATATACTAAAGGGTGTTGGGGGTCTTGCAATATACAAGGGGTGTTGGGGGTCTTGCAATATACTAAGGGGTGTTGGGGGTCTTGCAATATACTAAGGGGTGTTGGGGGTTCTGAAATATACTAAGGGGTGTTGGGGGTTCTGAAATATACTAAGGGGTGTTGGGGGTTCTGAAATATACTAAGGGGTGTTGGGGGTCTTTAAATATATTTAAAGGGGGCAACTTGATAAAATGTTGGAGACCACTGTTTTACAAGGATCTGCAAATGTAAACGGACATTTTTTTAAAATAACAAGAATGATATAATGGCATAATATTCAGCATGAAAGTGGAGATAGAAGCTATAATAAAAGCTTTCTGGTGGCTGATGGCTGCTTTCTGACGACATGTTCAATTTGATTTTGCATACAAACAAAATAGAAACTTGGGTTAGGCAAGGTGCAGCTTCCAGTGATAGGACTCGTGCTAGCAGCATATCCTGAACTTTCTTCCTAGGAAATATACATTGCTGTGCAGATTTCTAAAGGTAAAGTCAACTAGGTCATATACGCTCCATTATTACTTGACTGTGCGAGGGACTGCTTACTAGCTGTCGACCTGCCCGGTTTCGAGAAAAAAAACCAGGGCCAATCCGAAAGACCGCCTTTAGACCAGACATGGCACTGCACTCTTAAGAGCAGACACGGTTACCTCGGTCGCGCTGTGCGTTTTTGTGAGAAGAGAAGTTCTTTAGGGATCCTTTCCAATGTGTCCGAGGTCTGCTCGAGAAACCAAAGTCTGGGAATCTGGTTGTCGGTAAAGAGGAGCTGGAATTACATCCTCTGAAGATGTACTCCGACCGGACAAGGGATGAACCTCTCGATGACAACCCAGATGACGAAAGGCCTAAAGCGGCCCGAGTTGCCGAAGGAACCATTCAAACCGATGCCTCCCTCTTGGTCAGAGGTCGAAGAAGCTGTAAAGTTAGCCAGCGGGAAATCTGTCCCAGGACCCAACGGTGTACCGAACGTGGTTTAAAAACGCTGTCCGAAAGTCCTCCGAATGCTTCCGAACTTGCTAAACTTAGCGTGGAGCTGAAAGCACACATGTACTAAGTGGCAGAAAGCCAAGGGAGTCTACATTCCCAAGGAAGGCAAGATATTCTTCTCGGTTATGGCACGCAGACTCATGTAGAATTTGATGGCGAACAAATACATAGAAACAACTATCTAGAAAGATGGAATGAGCATGCGACCATAATCTGGAAGAGTATCCAGAGAGCTAAGGCAGAGAGAACCGAATTGCATGTGATATGGTTGGACCTCGCCAACGTCTATGGGTCGGTACTCCCTAAGCTTTAATGAAAGGCCCTTCGCACGTTCCACGTACCGACACAGATCACTGAAATGATCGAGCAATATTTCTCTAAGTTCGCCATACACTTTTCTATCCTCAGGTTTACTACCAGATGGACTGAACTACAGGTTGGGATAGCGATGGGATGTACCATCTCGCTAATACAGTTTGCAATGGCCATGCAAGTCATGTTAGATGGGGATGTCGGTTACGGGCAAGGCCTTCAAACTGGGGGGTCACTGGATGCCGCCAATGCGGGGAGGTTAGACTGCGTTGTCGAATGGTTCGGCATGCAGTTTAAGCAAGAAGTCAAGAAGTATGTCAGTCATTAAAGGTATGGTCGCGGCAACCAGTTTCTCGGTGGCAAAGAAGTGGATCCCCACGGGTTTGGGTGAACCGGTGAAGAACCTAGGCCGCCTCTACGATTCGAAGTTATCTGATAGAGCGGAGAACCGACGTATACATGAGTCACTGTCAACAGGCCTGCTTGCCATCGAGCGATGCAGTCTGATCGGGAAGTTCAAGGTCTGTTGTCCCCATTTCATACTGATTTCAAAGCTCCTCTGGCCGCTGCTCGTGTACGAGGTAAGCATGACTGCAGTGGAGACTTTGGAGAGAGAGAAAAAAAAAATCACGACAGCCACGAGGAAATAGTTCGGAGCACCGCCTTGTCTCGTCGATTATGCTCTCTATTGCAAAACAGGTTAAGTTGGTACTTCCGTTCAAATCAATAACCAAAGAGTTTAAAGTCGGCAAGGTAAGACTCACGATGATGCTGCGCTAGTCGTCAGACCCCACAGCCCGCTCTAAAGACAGACACTAAATGGAAGTTCCTTAATGCGATAAAACCTGCTCAGAAAGCACTGAAATTGAGGGAAGTCATGTTAAACACCAACCGGCCAACGCGGCTTAGGACTTAGAAAAGTCACTTGGTGGTCCAAAGCCGCGACCAAAGAACCCAGAGACAAGGTAATACAGCATATAAAGGTCACAGAAAATGAGACTTTGGCTCAAAAAGCTGCACAACAGTCACAGCGAGGCCAGTGGATCGGCCTCGAGAACGCCTTGCCACGAATACTCACATCGAATGAGATCTGGCGAATGGCTCCACTGCAGTAGAGCTATGTAGTAAGATCTGCTTATGACGTGCTACCCTCTGGCGTCAACCTTGCCAAGTGGTCAGCTATCACAGACCTGACATGTCCTCTATGCAGGGCTAAACAGACGATCGAGCACATATTGTCCGCGTGCAAAAGCCCTAGGCCAGGGACAATATACATAGCGCAACAATAAAGTCCTGATAGAAATAGTGGACATTCTGGACCAAGCCAGGGTGAGGGCCAACGCAAGGGCCGATCCCACTGCTCCCCCTTCCATGCGCTTCCTTAATGCTGGGCAGATTTCTAAAGGTAAAGTCAACAAATTCGCAAACGCTCCATAAACTGTGCGAGGGACTGGTCACTGGCTGTCGAACTGCCTGGTTTCGAAAAGTATCCACAATCCAAAAAGCCACCCTGAGAACAGACATGGTTCTGCACTCTGTGTAAAAACGCCAGCTTATTCTGATAGAGCTGACCGTACTGTACTGTACATGCTCGAAAGTTACGGTAATCTGTTGGCCGGTCTGATGAGAGAGGGAGCGTGCACAGTTAAAATCTTTGCCGTCGAGGTAGACGCAAGAGGACTTATCTCCACTTCCACAATGTGCTGCGAGGAAAAGAGCGTAAACGGTCACTAAAACAGCTGGGTGAAGCAGCTGAAATGGCTTCGAGCTGGCTTTGGACACAACGTCGTGGGTGATGGGCCTCAGTAGACTGGTCTGAACCCCTAGTGGAAAAGAACTTTTCGTCCCTATAAAGCTAAAGTGTCTGATAAATGTCTGCCAGTGTCTCTCTACGAAATGCCAATATCTAACATATGTCCAGCGAAAGTAGTCGGCCAATTTTATACCACAGTGACAAATATAACACCAAATCTTACAGTAGCTTTCGCAAAGTCACCATATTAACTTGTCCCTGTCCGAGAGTCCGATAAAGCGCAGCAGGGAAAGATCGTGACCTGGAGTCATGACCCAGGTCAGCCCACCTTCTTTCTGAGATTATATAGGAATTAATGGGCTAAAACAATCGTCGATGATTGATCTTTTTACTGATGAACGGTGGACCCCTGTGGAGTTCTTCTTCTTATTGTCTAGACGAGATATTCTGAGGAGGTCTACTAAAAACTATTGGGGAAAATGGGAAAGGGGAGGGGGGTGGGGGGGGGGGGGTGGGGGCTTAGGTGACATGAGTCCAAGGCTCCAGTGCAAATGTTAAAAGAGGTGTTTAGGATCGCTCCTGCTGCATTTGAATTTGCCATCGGGGGTCAATCCTTCAGACAGAAACAATTCTAAGCAAAGTGATAAATACCACGAGGAAAAAAAAGTTATGCCTAAAAAATTTGTTAAGTAAATATCAACGACATTATGGTTGATAATAAAACATTAGCAAATATTCAGTTAATTATAATATATGGCATATATTATATGCCCGTCAAACCGTTTCTCCGCAGCTGCTCTACAGTTAGGCGCTTCCGGTTATAAACTGGAAACACAACGGTGTTGAACGACACTGAAGATTTGAGAAAGAAATTGTACCAAAAAAAAAAAAAAATTTAGCGTACAGGCACACACATCAGTGTTCGGCTGAAAATATTATTAATTGTATAATAATGGCCGGGACTGGCGGGACCAAGACATTCTGTAGCGTGTGTAATCTGATGTTGAATTCCTACGACCAGTTTGTGGTTCACCAGGCAGGCAAATCTCACCAACGTAAAGTGGCCGCAGGACCATCTGCTGTCCCAACGCCAACAGCGCCGGTGACAAAGATAGGTAGCGACAGTTTTCTTGTTACAGTTGCATTTATTTGTTAGTCTTGTTCAGCTAATTTTTTTCTTAGGGTTTCAGGGCCCCCTCCCCCCAAAAAGGGGGGGGGGGGGTTGGGGAGGATAGAGCGCTACACTACAATCTACCTAGGTACTTCAGTTAAATGTTCAAAATGCCCTCTACACCAATAAAACCAGCACAGTTAGATAGCTGTAAACAATCTCTTTCCAATGATACCTCATTTAGGCTTGTATGTCATTTCTGAGCTGAGATATGTAGGTTTTTGTGGAGATGAGATGTAGAAAGCAGCCGCTAAAACTTGTGACCCAGAAACAAGAAGTTTTCTCTGCGCAACCTACTGTGCAGTTCTGTATCGGCTTTGTTTACATTGGACTGTCATTGGACAAGATGGCAGGCAATGAGACACAGCCACTGGCTGAGCCAGCGATTGTCTGAAAAATGTCACTGTACATCTGCCTAGCCACTGACAAGAAAGAAATTTTATATACAAATGTAAAATTGGACGGAGAATTCAATTATAACTAGCATTACCATGTCTAGTAACAGTTAAAGCCTAAAGCCAACCCTGAATACTTATCGCTATTTTCAATCAAACTGATGTAACAGAAAAACTGAGGACGTCCGGCTGTCGTAGACATGCGCTGTTAATCGAGTTCCTTCCCGCCGTTTTCAGCTATTTAGAGTGGGTGAAAATCACACCAATCGCAACATTTCATGAGAGATGAGGACCCATCCCGAAACCCCAGCCGACATTTGCGAAACAAGTTTGGAACGGTTTCCGGGTAACGGAAATTGCCGAAAAGATAGCAAATTTCCGAAACTGTAGTCGCTAATCTACCTCCTCCCCCAGCTAGCATCTGAGTATTCTCAGACAAGGCGACTAATTAATTAGCAATGTTGAATGTTTCCTCCAAACGCATCTACCGGAGAGGCAAGGAACCAACAGTCTGCACTAAAAATAAGCCAGATGTCTTAAAAGGATATGCAGACAAAACTAACGAAGAAGAAGAAATTTTCAACTCATTATAACTTGGGGAGGCGATGATTGCTGTATGTTACCAGTGTCAGACATGGTGGTCCCTCACAACATTTATAACAAAGCCTAACAAAACTGAGAATTTCTGTAGACCTGTTCGGCCTTACTGCTGTAACTGGCCTTGAGAAACATACAGAAATGTCTTATTTCTGTTGTTCCCTGTGTGGGTTCCAGGGCCCTGTTATAGGGAAAACAAGAATAGACCCACTGCCTACCCACAAGCATGTCCCATTAATTGGGATCTTCCTTCAAAGTCAGAGTGCATCTGCTTGAGAGGCAAGCAACCAGCAGTCTGCAAACAGATAAGTCAGATCTGTAAAACAGATGCACACGCAACACTCAGGTTCTAGAACAGGACTGCAGTCCAGAAGTGGACGAACAACCAGAAGTTTCTGCCAGAGTTTACAACTGGTGAACACGTAGAAGAAGATTTCTGTTGGGATAACATACATGCATTAAAGTGGATTATTAAGGACGTAATTTCTTTGATACAAATAGGGCCTATACTGAACTTGATTGTGCTCATATTTGTACAGGGGCTAATTTTGAGGTAAAAAAATTAATAGATTTACTTTTGCCTGGGAGCCGCTATGGTGTAGAGATTAGACGCTCAATCTGAAGGTCATAGGATCGATGCTAAACGGATTCAGACTTTTAAAAAAAAATTGTTTTGGCTTCCAGGTTGAGCCAGCCTTAAATGGGTACCATGCAAAGTTCTGAGAAGCAAACGGGGCTGGCATGATGTTAACCACATCACCAACTGAGTGGGTGCTGATTAGTCTACAAAATATAGGTCTAGCCCTATATGCCCAGTATGCCTGAAGGTAGAGAAAAGGGTCCTTTACTGACTGTTCCATAACGAGCAGGTTATAAAAGGCAACTAACTTAAGGATTTGCTGAAATAGGATGTGTTTGATCAAAGGATGCAACCTGGCTGTAAACACGACACAGTGTGTCAATCACTTTTTTAAGTAAGGGTAGTAAACACAGAATAGGTGGGGGGGGGGGGCCTTAAATGGGTACCTGGAGTCCTGGGAAGTAAAAGCGGCCAGTGTAATGTTGACTACCTCAGCCATGGAGAGCCGACTGGTCTATAAAAATACGAGCATAGCCTCGTATGCTCGGTGGCGCTACTGATGTATAAAGGGACCTTTATTTTCCGTACTTTGACGGGAGAAGGAGAAACAAAAGATGAAGGGGAAAACCTGTTGAGATCATTGTGGTTTTTTAATGCATAGTTTAATTCAAACTGTGTAAACCTTTACAATAAGGCAGCCATCTGTGATAGAGTACTCGGAGCTGTTGAAACAGACAGTGACATTTCAGTCAAGAATCAGTATAATTAATGTCAACTAGTTCAATATCATTTATTTATCAGATGTGTATAGCAGAAAATAATGTCGTAAAATAGTTGCATTAACTATTCAGTAGCAAGCGGCGGACATGTTTGATCAGCTATTGTTTATAAATGCTTTGCAACACACACAGCGACACCCACACACACGCACACCCCCTCCCACACATGTGCACATGATACAATTGGACACACACTTTACAAACCTGGCAAGTTATTTTAATGCTCACACCGTATGTGTACAGATCATTTGCCACTTAGTTAGTGTTGTGGTCAACATCATGCTGTGAACACTTTACTTCAGTATTGTTGGTTTCCATTTTAAGTTAGGTCAGCCTCGGAACTTTACGTCAGATTGCCTGATTGAGATTCAAACTCAAAATCCTTGAGTTGGCTGGTAAGCATCTCACCATTGTTCTACTGCAGACCCCAATTAACAAAAAAAAAAAAAATACATGTTTAAAAAAAATGAAAAATTTACCTCTGGCAGAGATTAGCAGAGACCATATACTGGACCATATAGCTGCATCAAAAACACACAAATGTTGCAAAGTATGGTCTGTCTTTAGAGATTCTTGTTGTGATAATGGTGTCTTGTTTTATTTCAGTGAGAGCAAAACCTTTCATTCGCTTTGTGTCAAGTCAAGAAGGTGGCACCTCAGAGTCATCTCAGAATAATACTGAGGTAAGGATTGTGATGTGATAAAACGGAATGGAGAAATAGACCAAGCTCTGTGTTACAAATAATGACACAAATGAACAATTTTAATTGTGAAAAATGGGTGGAACATACTTGAAGGGAGGTCACAACAGTTGGGTGCAAATATTCATGTTGAATTAATAATAGGAACTGAGTGGGCAAACAAAAGCTCTATCTATCTATCTCTGAAGTCACACCCTCAGCTTTGTAGTCAAGCTCCAGTTTGGAAAGGTTGAGGTTTTAGCCCCCAGTGATAAAATGGATGAGACAACAAGTGAAGTCAAGGTGAATTCCTGTTCCTTCACCAAGCTACTGAGTTGGGTGCGTGGTGGGACACTGCAAGCTGTGAATTTAATCCGGAATGCTTATCGTGTATGCTTCTCGAGATATGTGTTGTAACTGCATATTCAAAAACTGTCAAATGGCTTGTTGCCATAGAATTGGCAGTGTGCCTTATGGTGCAGTAGTGAGTGTATACCTGCTGATTTGTCTTGACTGCTGCTTTCATCACCTGTGATTAGCTGTTCTAGTGACAGGCTGCAGGCATTGGCACCTCTGGCATCTGCCTTATGTATTTGTTGTGTGTGTAAGCTGTTAGATTTTGTCAGGACTGCTGTATTTTTGACTGTCTACATGGGACAGTGATAAGCATTTTTTGTGGATTTTACTGGCATAGGAATTGAGTAATTATACAGTGACCCGTTTGTGATGATATGGAACCCTAACTGATAGTTTGTCACAGAAGAGTGCTCTTCTAGTGGCCTGACAAGTTTCAATGTCATGGAATCACTTTTCTGTTTGAAGCCTGCAGGGTAGAGTCATGTAGTTGTCTCTGGTGTAACCTTCAGACCATACAAAGCAAATGAATATTACAGACAGATTGTTAAAGGAAAGTATTTTGAATTACATATTTTCAAAATTTATTTCATATAATTGTTTTCTAACCCAGGTTATGAATGTTGAAACTGGTCAGGCTGACAGTTCATGTCCCGAGGGGACAGCCGTATTTAAGAAGAATGAGCTGTTCTGCAGTATCTGTGTGGTCAAGCTGACATCCCAGGCCCTGGCTGACATGCATTATGCAGGGGCCAAACACAGAAGGGCAGTCTCCCTGGCAGGTGATGTATTTCTGTGCTGAAGTGACTGCAGTGTTTTTCTCCTTTCTTCTTCTTCTTGTACCTACAGGGTAAGTCAGAAATCTGGCTACAAGTTAAGTTGCATTTATTTAAAATCTCCGGCTTGAATAACCCTTTGAAGAAAATATTCCTTAAAGTACACATCATTAATAATATTTTTTTAATAAATGCATTAACAAAAAAATAATTGTTTGCGGTAAATAAAGGAGAGTAATTTAATAAAAAGGAATGGAGGGAAGAATTAAAAATTTAATTTCCTTGTGCTTACAAATAAATAATTTATACAGTGACTTGGAGACATCATTTTACTAAAGGGGACTTATGATGTCCTGATGAATAAAACAAAAGCCATTTTTTTTTTTCTAAAAAACCCTCAGAGTTATTTTTATTAAATATAATAATACCCCAGTCCTTCTAAATGCTGCACAGCCGCCAGCATAACCAATGCCATCAACTAGGCATGTCAGGGACAGGTCTCTGAGAAGCAGTGCTGTTTTGAGGCTTCTCAAAGATGATAACGGACGGCATCTTAGCCGTCTTTCTGTCTCCCTCTGTATATAGCATGTATGTATGACACGGATAGTGAACATCTGGCCAAGTCTCAGGAGATGTGAATGCACCGATGAGTAGGTCATAATTCATAGAAATTACCAAATACAAACCTTCTCCGTGACTTACGACGAAATAAAATAAAAATATATAATAAATCAAAATAATAAAGAAAGAAAGATAACTATTTTGGTAGGGTCAAAAGGATTCCTGAACTGATACCTAGAGCGCAGGAGGGTCTAGATATCAGCGTCCTATTTGACATATTGTCTGGAACCACAGATCAAATACAAATAGTGTTAAAAAATATAAATTCACCTCACAACCAGTTTGAAGTAACATAATTCGGTCGTAAGTTGAGGTTCTCAGAGACTGAATGAAATGAGTTTTGATAGAAATGACAAGAGATGTCAACTGTTTTGATGACATTAAAAGACGTATTTGATAAGGGCATTAGCAGTTTCAGCACGACCCTTAGGCTAGCCTTTGCAGATTTGGTGGAACTGGCTTATGTGTCAACTGTTTTATTGCTGGGACAAAGATGAAGGTAGCTACATGCAGTGGGGTTTTCAGTGACCCAATCCACTGTCTGTACAGAGACTGCCTCGAATTTGTGCTGGTATCATCAAGTAATGTTTTAAAAAGGGGGCCTTTTTCACGTTGTTGGTGCTTGTAGGCATATAGTACTTGTTCCTTATTTTGATAGACACTTGGCACTCATTGGGTGACATTGCCAATATCCGCACGCACTGTTACTTCCTGAAGAATGTCCTTGTACCCATTTTAGGCTGCCAGTAAAAGTTGAACTACTAAAGGTAGGGAACTAAATTTAAATTCGTTAGAAAACAAATGCCTGAGGAAAATGATAAACATAAAATTGGATGAATTCAAGAGGAGTAAGGAAAAAAGAGAAAGATCTGGGCAACCATTAGTATCAGCAGTTATAAGATAGAGAAGATGGTGCTTTATTGGACACATTCTGAGAAGAGATGAGAACATACACGCACTGAAATGGGAAATAGAGGATTTATGAAAACAGTGTTGTCCAAGAGAAAACCTAAGGTAAATGTTGATGAGAGGAGCCGGGGGTGCTGGCCTGGATTTTGACTATTGTATCGAAGTGGTTGTGTAGGGTAGAATGGAATGGAGAAATAATATTGTAACCCTATATGACACAACAGGACAATGAATGAATGAATTTAAGACTGAGTCAACCTAGGAGGCTAAAATCAATAATACAGTTTTGGAAAATGAAAGCAATGTTTCCTCATTGTAAAATTTGAACAAAGAAGACACAAACAATAGATTGCACAATTTATTGCCTGGCATAAGATTTCTTGAAGCTTCAGCTATTCATCACCTGCGCCCGGAACTCTGTACACAGAAAGATATGGTTCTGACTTTACGGCTGCCCTGGTAAAACAGGCAGTCATGTTTGATTGTTGTTGAAATTGTACTTCAGTTATGAAGAATTCACTTTTCTGCTTCATTTATGTAATTGTTATTGTAGTATGCACCTGACGAGATACAGCGAAATATTCCAGGCAGTAAATACAGTTTTGTTTTGCAAATAAAAAGTCAGCCTTCAGTACAGCAGGCAAGTATTTAGCTACTGCATTGCCATGGCTCAATTTCCATAAGGTTAAATTTAATTTGTGTAATAATTTGATTCTCTTAGACATATGTGAGATATTCATTGTAAATTAACTTGTTCTTTTTTGTCTGCTTAACTGGATGTTTGTAGGTCGATCTGGGGGTGCAAATGTTGCTGAAAACATCAAGAGGAAGTTTGAGGAAATCTGTGAGGTCTGCAATGTGCCACTGATATCAAAGGTTGTTGCTGAAGCTCATTATGCTGGGGCCAAACATGAAAAGAAGCTCAGGTTGTCCCAAAATATAAGTAAGACGCTTATTTTATGATTGTCTTGTGCAGAACTTCTTTTTCTTCAGCATTCTAAGCCCTTGAGGTTCATTGCTGCAGATATCACTCACCTCCATTCATCTCTCTGGTTGGCCTTCTCTTTCCAGTTGGTAACACCAAGTGTTTGCAGGTCTGTCTTTATCGTCACTATAGCGATTGTGCAGAACTTGGGATAACAATCTATACACTTTACAATGTCTGTATGTTAGCAGATTATAACCGAGAATTATTATAGTGTCAAGCATCAGTTCATAGATTCCAAGTAGTTAGCATCCCTTGTGTGTTTTCTCCGTGACATTCAGTGGGTTAAGAAATAAAGAGACTCACTGGCTGGCTCTGCACCATTTGGTGGCAAATTTGTGCCTGACAAGCTAGATATGGTCAAGAAAGAACTTTTGTGGGTGAGCAAACACTGCAGGAGCGCAAATAAATCCTCACAGTCTGAAAAAAATAGTGCAGAGGGGAGTCACCATGGGATCTGGCGGACACTCGACATTTGAAGGAAAAGTAAGGGGACATACAATCAGACAGCTACTGGTACCATTAGAATTGAAGCTGCTCTGGCTGCTGAAGATGGGGACAGAGTGCTTATTGTATTGTCCAGAATGCTTTGAAGTCGATTCTTAGCACAATGGAGAACATGAATTGTAAGAGGTGATTAAAATGGATTTGAAGTGCAAAACCCTAGATAACCCCAAAAATGGTGCAGAGGGCAGTCATCACGGGATCTGGCAGACACTCAACATTTGGAGGAAAAGTAAGGCGGGCATACAATCAGATCGTTACTGGTACAATTTCTGTACATTACCAGATTAGAAGGAAGGATTATTAGTGTCAAGCATCACTTCATAGATTCCAAGTAGTTAGCATCCTTTAAGTGTTTTCTCCATGACATTCAGGTGTGTTAATTAATAGACAGACACATAGTGCATTATGACTCTGCACAGTAATGATAATAATCCAGATGTCTTACTGTCAAAGTGAGAAAGAATGAGCATATCAGAAATTGCAGAGAGATCTACCTGGTTTATTTCTGTACCATTGATTGGCTACCATTAGTTTATATATTTTATGGTCGCTGTTCACATTAAAACCTTGTCAAGAGGGAGATGTTTGCAGTCTCCTCACCCTGTAGGGAGCAAAGTACTTGTCATCGATGTACAGACCTAACAGTGATTCCACAAATTTAATTCCTATATTGGAAGCTGCTGTAGGGTAGTGGCTAGATGCTTGCCTGCCAGCCTGAGTTCAAGGGTTTAAATCCGCACCGGGGCCCAAAAAAATTGGCCTAAGCTCCAAGGTAAGCTCAGCCTAAAAAAGGGTACCCGGAAAGTAAAGGCAGCAGGTGTACCGCTGACCACATCAACTGCAAAGTGCTATTTAGTATAAAGAAAATATGAGCCTGTGCCTGATTTACCATTGGCATAGCAGGTGTTAGTCAGATTTAAATGGAAAGGAGAAGTTTTGAGGGATAGAACAGAACTGGTTATTGAACTAACTCTTGTCTGACCTGATTGATTGAATCCTGTATGATCTCCGTGTAATTCTTCTTCTTCTTTAAGAGGGCAGTTGGCATCTTGTATTGTAGTTTACAGCAAGACCGTGATATTCTGTCTTTTGGACCAACACATCCGATTACAGAAAACTTCCTGCTAGTCGTCCTGTACCTACATGCTTGTGGTTCCTCATTCCCCCCCCCCCCCCCATACAAGTTTACCGACATGCTTGTGGTTTCTCATTCCCCCCCCCCCCCCCCATACAAGTTACCGACATGCTTGTGGTTTCTCATTCCCCCCCCCCCCCCCCCCCATACAAGTTACCGACATGCTTGTGGTTTCTCATTCCCCCCCCTCCCCCATACAAGTTACCGACATGCTTGTGGTTTCTCATTCCCCCCCCCATACAAGTTACCGACATGCTTGTGGTTTCTCATTCCCCCCCCCCCCCCCCCATACAAGTTACCGACATGCTTGTGGTTTCTCATTTCCCCCCCCCCCCCCCCATACAAGTTACCGACATGCTTGTGGTTTCTCATTCCCCCCCCCCCCCCCCCCCCCCATACAAGTTACTGACATGCTTGTGGTTTCTCATTCCCCCCCCCCCCCCCCCCCTACAAGTTACCGACATGCTTGTGGTTTCTCATTCCCCCCTCCCCCATACAAGTTACCGACATGCTTGTGGTTTCTCATTCCCCCCCCCCCCCCCCCCCCATACAAGTTACCGACATGCTTGTGGTTTTCTCATCCCCCCCCCCCCCCCCATACAAGTTACCGACATGCTTGTGGTTTCTCATTCCCCCTCCCCCATACAAGTTACCGACATGCTTGTGGTTTCTCATTCCCCCCTCCCCCATACAAGTTACCGACATGCTTGTGGTTTCTCATTCCCCCCCCCCCCCCCCATACAAGTTACCGACATGCTTGTGGTTTCTCATCCCCCCCCCCCCCATACAAGTTACCGACATGCTTGTGGTTTCTCATTCCCCCTCCCCCATACAAGTTACCGACATGCTTGTGGTTTCTCATTCCCCCCCCCCATACAAGTTACCGACATGCTTGTGGTTTCTCATTCCCCCTCCCCCATACAAGTTACCGACATGCTTGTGGTTTCTCATCCCCCTCCCCCATACAAGTTACCGACATGCTTGTGGTTTCTCATTCCCCCCTCCCCCATACAAGTTGAGGTCTTGGAACCAACAGAAGGACAGTGCGATTCATGTCGTGTCTTGTTGTTGTTGTTGTTGACCAGTCACTGAAGTTATGTCTTGTTGCAGATACTGCAGATCCATGTCCAACATTTGGTGGAAGCACACTTCAGCCAGCTTGCATAGTAAGTTCCTATTGTAACAAGTTTTTAACCTTTTTCCTCTTCAGAATCTTAAAACAAAACAAACAAAATTATCTTTTGTTCAAAATTCTGTTAAAGAAGAAATGCATCAATACAAATCTCTGAAATTCTTCCCTAAGAAACTAGAGGGGAAAAAAAAGAAGCAGACAAAATATTGACTCTTGGTTAAGTTTTCATACAAATCTCTGAGGTTGAAACCTAAGACAGCCGAACAGATAGGCAAGCCTGATATCAGATTACTAAAATAGTTTCAAAATGATATTTTTATTTTTATCCACTTTAAAGAGCTAAAAAATTTGTTGGAGTAAGGAAATTAATCTCTAAATACAAACGGAGAAAGAATTTATCGCTTTCCTTCCCTTTGACCATGAAACAAGAGGTTTGCAACAGTACCAAAAGTGTTGTACAAGTTTAGTGGCCAGTGCTCAGAGACATTATTGAAATCTTTTAATGATAGAAAGATGCCTTTTCAGGTTGGTAGGGCTCAGACAGCATGTTTATGAAGAAGGAATAAAACTGGGGCCTTTGAGCTGAAATGTTGCAGAAATATTCTTAGAATTCCATGGACCAAAGAGAGAAGAAATATTGACATTCTAAACATATATCAGCATCAAGGAAAATTGGCTTGTTAACAGCATCCTGTCAAGGAAACTGAAATACTTTGGCCATATCTGAACGTCATAATGACTTGGAAAGAATACTAGGTAGGTAGTAAGTTAATCAACAGATTATCCTTATTGCACATTGGACACATCCATAAGTGGTCAGATCCCATCTTCAGTATATCCCTTAGCGTGTGACGACTGATAATACCAGTTCTTTGTTGGTTTACTATTCTGCTCTGGCTGCATGTAAAATGTTCATGTCTGGCGACACCACTTTTGACCTACAGTTCTTGTAATCTATTGAATCTACTCCTCCTGTCTCCTTGAGGATATCGTGAGTAAGAATAAGAGCGGCAGGGGCCGACCAGCATGAAGATGAGTATGATATGATGCATAAGTGACACCTTGAGCAGAAGAGCTGGCGAAGGGCCAAGTTTTTTAAGGCAGGCTGTATGGAAGTGATGTTCCGTAAAGGTCCTGCTACTTGATGATGATGATGCATTTATTGATAGCAGGTATAAAGATGAGAAGTTATCACCATCGCACCCTGCTGTTAAGCATTGGCAGTTCATGTTTCACAATCTCTCACGATTCTTAGATGAAGTCAGTGCTCGTGTTCCAAACCACCCCCTTGCTCTTGTTCCATCAGTCTCGCCAGTTGTCAAGTTCTTGAGTCTCCTGTCCAAATAGAACACTGACTGCCTCCATATAATATCTCTAATTATTTAATGGATGGTTTTCATCCGTCATGATTTCCCTGTGTAGGTTCCGGAGCCCTATTATAGGGAAAACAAGAATAGACCCACTGCCTACCCAAAAGCATGTCCTAAGAGTCGACTAATTGGGAACTTCTTAAAGTCGGAGTGCATCTATCTGCCTGAGAGGCAAGGAACCAACAGTCTGCATACACATTAGTCAGATCTGTCAAATGGATGCATATGCGACACTCAGGACTGCAGTCCAGAAGTGGACGAACAAGAAGAAGTTTCTTGGAATTAAGGCCAAAGGGTTGCAATATCCATAGTACCGAGCCAAAACGTTAACAACTCATGATTTCTGGAGACTTATAAAAAAAAAAAAAGTAAGGATAGTGTAACAGCTTGTTTCTCTCATCTGCAGGGTGCACCAGGTGGGCAACAGGATAGTGTTACAGCTTTTTTCTCTCATCTGCAGGGTGCGCCAGGTGGGCAACAACAGAAGAAGGCCCTAACGGACACATTCTATTGTCATTTTTGTAAAGTCGCCCTGAACTCACAGATGCAGTTGGATGCACATTATCAAGGTAAGTTACAAATAAAATTGCCATATTTATTTATGACACAAATTTTATTCTTGTTAAAGTTTGCTACGCTATCACTACCGACGGTCACTGTTATTTTCTTTTACTTTTTTGTAATTCCTTTGTGTAATGTTGATTATCATGTCTGTCTATAGCCTTGAGTCTCATATACTGTCAGTCTTGTCCAGTTCAGACATTCTTCCTTGCCTTGTTGCCAAACATCTCTTCTCTCGTGGTCTCCATCTTGTTCTGTGTCTCTTCAGCTTTTCTGAAATTTCTGTCATAATTTCTTTATTGGTTAAGGACAGGTAGACACCACAGTAGGGGGGAGGGGAGCTTAATATTTTGTTGTTAATCACAGTTTCTATGGCGTTAAGAGTTTCTCAGCAATTTATTTCTCTATCTGAGCAATTTATTTCTATATAAGAATATGTTTGTAAATTTGAAGGTCCAATTTTCTAGTTTAGTGATTGTAAAATGGTCCAGGACACATTCGTATGTGACACAAGAAAGCTGCATGTTGACATTTTCTTGTGCTTTAGTTTTTTACTGGTCTCATTCTTACCCACCCTGCTGTGCCAGTTCCAGACATGGTTGCTCAGTAACAGTCATAATTATGTGCTCTGCTGAAAGCCTTAACGGGCATATTTCAGCCTCACCTGATCACCAGAATCACGTCAGCGCTCTTGTCTCAGCCCACAAGCCAATCAGGTATTTTGTGTGAGAAATCATGACTGTTTTTGAAGAGGGTGATTCACCAATGATTTCTTTCCTGGCAGCGACCATACTGGTCAGCTGACCATATCCAGTCTATGTTATCTGGTTCGTTCAACAAACTTGACACACTGACCAGCAGCTATCTTGTCAGCTGTCCATCACAGCATAACAATAAACTAGTAACTGGAAGTGATCAGAAAAGATCAGGTTAAGAATTCTTATTATACTTCTTAGCCGTTACCAGCTGTAAAGACTGGTGGAAAGTTCTGGTTGTTCATCCACTCCTGGATTTTGGTCTTCAGTCCAGAACTACGGCATACTTGTTGGGGGTTGGGGCAATAAGTCTATTTTTGTTTCCGAAATGGAGCCTTGGAGCCCATACAGAAAAATTAAGAATTGAGTCTAAAGATTTATGTTAATTTACATACAAGAACAAATAAAGTTGTTTGACAAATTAAAGGAAATGATTGGTAATGCTGTACCATAACCTGCCCACCTATATAAACCTGCAGATCACTCTGTAGATAAGAGAGCTGGACCAGACCAGACCCAGAACCCCTAGTACCACACCGGACTTAGGAAGACAAAGAACAGGAATATCAGGTGTGACTTCACACCACAATTAAAAGGAAACCCATTAAGACAGCCAAGGAACCTTTCTTAATATAGCAGGCCTCCGGGCGGTTGAAAAAGGATCAGATTTTGAATTTTTGTTGATCAACTGGAATTGGACTGTAACTAGAGAGTACCCAAGTATAACTGTTTAACGAGGTTTCTGGCATTTATACCTGTTTCATTCTCATCCATCTTTCTTTCTCAGTTATGGTTTAAAAAAAAAAAAAAATCACAGTTAGTAAAGATTGCTTTTAACACCTTTAGGCGCATAGGGCATAAGGGAAGAGCACCCATATTTTTATTGACCAATTGGCACTGGGTGGGTAATGTGGTCAGCATTACACTGGCTGTCTTTCCTTCCGCAGGACAGCCATCCTGGTACCAATTTTAGGCTGGGTCGACCTGCGATACCATGATAAAAATCCACGCATCCAGCAGTTTGTTTCAATCGCGGCACGTTGGAATTACGAGTCGGACTCGCAACGCCTAAGCCACTGACGACACTGTCAATTAAGGCGAGAAAGAAAATTCTCAGCAGTATCCTATCCTGATATACAAAAAAGGAATCATGGACGTTTAGCTAATTGGTAAAAAAAAATTTATGCAGACGCACTGGACGGAGATGTGGTTTAAAAAATAAATGATAACAACCAGAACAGATTAGAAGAGTAATAAAAATGTCTCAAAATAAATTGACTTATAAAGAGAACTGATTGCCACATCAAAAGGAGAAAACTGGAGTATGTCGTCACCATGGGAAAATTGCAGGGGAAAGGAGGCAGAACGAGGTGAAGAGAGAAGACACTGGACAGCTTGATGTTGTGCGATGGAAGATCATATGTATCAGTATTGATTGAAAATATATAAATGTATATAGAGAAGTTTGTGGATAGACATGACTACAATGGCACACAGCATGGACTATAAGAAGACTCATCTTTAATTTGCCTATTCTCTGTGTGAGTTCTTGGGCCTCATTGTGGAGAAAACAAGAACAGACCCACTGCCTTCGCAACAAGCATGTCGTGAGAGTCGACTAATTGGAGGCTTCCTTCAAAGTCAGAGTGCATCTATCTGAGAGGCAAGGAACCAACAATCTGTATACAATTAAGTCAGATCTGTTAAACAAATGTGCACGCAACACTCAAGTTCTGGAACAAGACTGAAGTCCAGAGGTGGACAGATAACCAGAACTTTCCGCTGGAGTTTACAGCCAGTGATTTCGAAGAAGAAAAGTGTGCTTATGCTACAGGCTGTATTTGTTAGAGGGTACACATTTAAAAACAATTGTACATTGCTACGATCAGTCCCCTTCTGAGCTGTGCTGTACAGTGTCCACAGTTGTTGATTGCAGCCTTGACTTTTACTGTCTTTATCCATCAGGAACAAAGCACAAGAATGCTGTCAATGGAATCCCACCACAGCGGAAGAAGCCATTCACCCCTCGACCATCACAGGAAACACCATATACTCCCAGACCACCTCTCCTGGAAGAGAGATTTCCTAACCCCGGTCATCACTACCAGGCAGGCAATTTTGGAAGCCCTGGTGGATTTGGAAACTCAAACAACTTTGGAAACCCAAATCCACAAATGCCATTTAGGCCCATGGCACCTTCAATGTTATACCCACAGTACTGAAGTTAAAGTTTGGGGTGGTTGACTTTTAAAGTGATTTTATACTGAGCTGTGTACAAGGCAGAAAAGGGACTGTCATACTTGATCCATCACCAGTTTTCTTGATTTAAACTGCTACCATTATATAATCTCAAGATTAGACTTTAATGTTAACTAAGTTCATCTTTGACCAGGGCTAGCAACTGGTGGCCACATTTGGCCCTCTGGTCATTGGCAGTTGTATTGTTTTAACGATCTTTCTGTGCTGGGGCTCCGGCTTCTGGCCCGTGAAAATCACCATTTTGAAAGTTGTGTCCCCTGAGTAAACATGGTTAACTAGCCCTGTACTAAACCACAGCAAGTAAGAATCCTGTTTTAGATGTAATCAAATACGGTGAAAAGAGAATTGCTGAAGGAAATTTAAAAGACAAGTGAAATATTTATATCGAATGAAAAGTACACACGGGCATACGATCCAGGGACCAGGGGAATTTACTAGAAGTCCATGTAAAAAAATCCCAGCCTTCACCGGGCCTGAAACCAGGACCTCCAGCACCCGTTGTGGATGCCATGCTTTGAGACCACTCAGCCCCCACACATAGTATTATGTGTTTGTTTCTTAGTCAAATCAACAGCCATTTGTAACACTTTTTCCCTTAAATATGTATTGTGTGACTGGCCTCGACATTAATTATTGTGTCTGGACTCGTGCCAGACAGGTTTCTGCATCATTTGGCCGCCTCTGCCTCATTATCAATTATTCACTGAAGGCAGCAGCTGCTCAATGAACTGTTCTCTATCTTGTGCCAGGTATGTCTTCTACTTCTGCCTTCTAACCCCAAATAGACCAAAGGCCCTTAATCAACTCACGCCAAGCTGTTCTATCCTTTGCTATCGCATGAAGCAGTTCCCATCTTTTTAACTTTACCCTCTAGCTCCCTTCTTCGTGTTTTTTTTGGTCTTCCTAGGTGAAAGAAAGTACGGGGACGATCCACACTCCTTTTGGCTTTCTCTGCACTGCGTCATACTTCCACTAAAAGAGCCACTCATCTTGTTTGGCTGGGTTTTTCTCGTTTCTCTTTGAGACTTTTCCATGGTTGGTTGGTTTTGTGGCTATTGGTTTTACAAGAGGAGGTAGACATCCCTACCCTTAGTCTCCCCTCTTACGACATGCCTGGAAGGGGGCAGTGGTATTATGCTATGCTGTCCGTGAGGGCCCGGGTGACACAGGCAAAATTTAAAAGGTGGGAGGTAAGGGAGACCAAAAACAATCCAGTTTTCCATTCTGTAGGATTGTCATCTCAAGAATGAAAATCAGACAGCTACAAATTACTGAAACCCTGTTCCGTGGCTTTGCTTAAAAAAAATTTACGTCAGCTAGCATTCCTGAAGAGGAGTTTTAGGTTATAACTGTGACTAGGTTATTTGTGTCATATAACATGACTTAGCACTCTCCACCAAGTAACTCTAAAAAGGAATCTTGCAATGTTGAGATAGACCCAAACAGGTGACCTGGTCGCCGATGCAAGGAAGCTCTGTTCAACTGTATAGTCGTTTAGCACAGCTGTATTGGGGCACCACTAAATGGCTGGGAAGTAACATATAGTCCTGGGTGGGTAGTTGTGTTACCCAGGTTAAAATCCATAAGAAATATTTTTGAGAAAACAAGCTTCATAGGCAAACACAGGTGTTTGTTTATATGTCAGAGTTGTTATACTTGTTTATCATTGTTTGATTTCTGTACAAAGTACTTTTATAGACTTGACAACTGAAACAGTGACTATTTTCGTTTTCTGCATTTGCCTATAAATGAGTGGTTGACATGTTTTATTGCGGTTTACATCTAGGATGTGGCACCTGTGCCTTTTGGCCAAACAAATCCGATTTCATTAAGCCCCTAATTAGTTACCTTTTGTGGCTTGCTTATTATAAGGTGCACTGGGCCTATTCCCTTTTACTCCGACATTGAGGCTGCAGACCCACTGAGGGACAGTGACTCTGAACAGCCAGATCTGTAGATTTTCTGTGAGGACACTTCCTCTTTCAAAACATAATTATTTTAATCTGATTTTGAGATCTGAAGTGGACACAGTGATAGCAGTGATCATTTCTATTTTGTTTCCTGTGTGTCTTGGATGTTGTTTTACATGTGTCTACATGTGCAACTTTTACTACATCAGAAACCACGGTAGTGCGGCTCTGTGGCTTAGTAGTTTATTGAAATGGTTTCACAATCCAACACCCAATCTGGTAGGATTACATTTTTGTGCCAACTGGTTTTAGATTAAATTTTGTGGCTTTCAGACAGCAACTAGAGTCGTACCTGTGGAAGAAATTTTGGCCTCACCATGCTATGGTCACAAATAGTGAGTAAGTTTAAGTAAATATCCCTTTTCACGCCTTAGGTGCATCAGGCATATGGGAAGAACGTCCCTTATTTTTACAGACCAACCGGCACTGGGTAGGTAATGTGGTCAGCATTACGCCGGCTGTCTTTACTTCCCAAGGACAGCCATCCTGGTACCTGTGATGCCCCATACCATGATAAAAATCCACGCAGCCAGCAGTGGGTTCTAATCGGGGCACGTAGGATCACGAGTCAGATTCGCAACGCCTAAGCCACGGACGCCGCGTTCACAAAGATAAATGCAGTTCTGCCGACTACCACTGTAGCAAGACCCCTACCCCCCCCCCCCCCAACAAGGTGCTGTAAAGCAGGGATGGTACCCGTTTTGTGTGTGGGTCCCACTGGTCAAGTTTATAATTACCAATTTTTGTTAAAAAAAAAAAAAAAAAAAAAAAATTCACATATAAACATAAATATTTTTATGTTCTGCTATTTTGTGAGGTCACGGGCTAGATAATATGGTAATTTACAACAGCCTCGCAGAGAATATTGCTCCAGCATTTAATCTACTCGTGTTACAGATGATAAAAATCACACATACTAAATGTTCTGAAATGTTCTAGCAACTGAGAAAAAGTAGTAGTAAAATAACACCTTTAATTCCTCGGTTACTAGAATATATTAATAACCCTTTATCCTGAAAAAGTGTATAAACTGTATGTGGCTTAGATGTTGGGACAAAAATGGGTCTGAAGATAGCCGCAGGCAGTTTGCTAGCTGACTGATTTGTATTGATTTTAACAGCATAAGCATCGTAACGGTCAGACAATGGTAACAAATAGGTGTAAACAAAAAATGGGACGTTTTACGAAATGTCCCGCATGGTGAGAGTTCCTTTCCCTCCCATTCATGCTGCGGCTGGCCGCACAACCTGTCCTACTATCTTGTGGGGTTTGTTATGAAATGGCTTCATTCACCCTATATAATATTCGTGGGAGTTTGTGTTGTGAGTCTCGTTGAGGCGCCTGTGTACAAGTATGGAGTGCTGCAGGGAAAGGCGCCGGAGACATGACCGTTCATGAGTATCTTCTTCGCGTTCACCAGCTGTACACTTGGCGGAATGTTCTGGTTGCTCGTCTACTACTGAACTGCAGTCCGGCTCCAGAACCTGAGTGTTGCGTGTGCATCAGTTTTACAGATCTCATTCTCTTGAATACAGACTGTTGGTTCCTTGCCTCACTCCGACTTCAAAGGAAGCTCCCCAATTAGTCGACTCTTACGACATGCTTTTGGGGAGGCAGTGGGTCTATTCTTGTTTTCCCCACAATGGGGCCCCGGAACCCACACGGGGGGCTTCATGAGTATCAAAACTGTTATTTTTCTTTTTAAATTTCTATGTTCCTTTGCGGCTACCCCCCCCCCCCCCCCAAAAAGGAACCACTTGCAAGAAACGTAGAAATACAAAAACATCCCACTCATGAGCCGTCGGGCAGGTAACACTAACATGGAAATAATCATGTAAGTAAGCGGTAGCAGCACGAGAAAAAAGAGAACGATTAAACCGTCTGCAACAGACTAATGAAACAACAGTCACGGTTGCCAGTGTTTTCAAAATTTTGTTTAATACTAATAACATGATGATGATGATATGCTTCAGTCCAGTTCTCCCAAGTATATCTTTTTGTCACTGGAACATGACAGAACTGTATGGGAAGAAAGAAATAATGAACTTGGCTATATACATATGTATATATATAATAGCATAAGATATTCATATAGATTGATCAGCACTTGGCAGAAGATTTTTGGGTGAGCTAAATTATTATTAAAAAAAACAAACTTGCTGGGATACAGACTTAAAGCCAAGACCTTCAGGTTTGCAACAAGTGCATAATCTGAGATACCAAGTTCAGTTTCAGCTATGGGTGACTCAACAGCAGACGTCTTTGCATTAACTTTGACACTGGTATCAAGAATTGCCTAGCAAAACATGTTAGTTCTGCAATGTCCTGTAAAACATATAAGACCAAAAAACTGCTATGTTCAAAAAAGTATGCCAAATTCATAACAAGGCTGACTTGTAGAGGTGCGGCGATGTCAAGCCACAAATGGCTGAATAGTTGTTTTTGTCTGCCAGATGAATAAACATTTTTGTCTTGCCTGTCTTTGTTCATGGTTACTATACAAATAAATTAATCGTATACTCCACACTGTGCGGTGTCGTTAGTCATGTCTATCCACAACTCCATCTGTTTCATGATGTACTCATTTTCATGACATGAACAAAGAATTGAGATGATCTCCTCCTGGTGTGCAGTGACTATGTTTTCTGTGTAACGACCATTACTTCTGTTTTCTGCTGTTCAAACTAAGACTATCATGTGGTGATACACCAGGACCAGGTCTCATAGTGATCAACACCTATATACACTTTTCTGCAGTCACCTTGAAACAGGTTCCAACCAGGGCTCTGACTAGCATAGATAGGACCAATCCTCATCAATTTCCACTCCTGTCATTAAGCAATGTGGGGAGGAACAGAAGCAACCCACTGCTTAGTGGGCAGCGTTGGCTATTGTTATTTCGTGTCGACGTAGAAGCTCTTTAATGTCATCAATGCATCTTCTCCTAGGGTGGCCTTCTGCTTTCATGTTAGATCTGGTAGTTGTTCTGGCTGCATTCTTACTAATGACCAATCCATCTGATTTTCTATTTCTCAATAAACTTAGCCTGTTCAGGTGTTCTAGCAGTCTACTTCCCTCACTGTGATAGAATCAATGTTTTCTTCAAGTCCAGAAGTTGAGCAACAACCAGGACACACCATGTGAGTTTACAACAGGTAAATGTGAAGAAGAAGAAGGAATGGGAACATAAACTTCAGTGTCAAATATTCAACTCACTTATTGGTTCATTTGGGTGAAAGTCGACCTCATTGACAGATCCAGCATGACCAGGCAGTTTGTACATGACCCTCCGTGATGTGGTGTCCCACACGTACACAAATCTATCCCCTGAACCAGCTGCCACTCGACTGCCATCAGGTGACCACGCACACCGTAACAAATTCTGCAACAACATAATAAACACTTAACACCGGAAAAAACAAACTTTATGGACTGGAGCAGAGACATCAACTGAATGAAATAAAAGCACCAACTTTATTTTCAAAGGGTTAGTAATTGGGCAGACAGGCCTATCAAATATTCTGCCAATTTGATCTTACCCTTTTCATACAGACATCAACGATAACAAGTAAATGTTAATTACTATCTCTGGAGTGTTCAAAATATGGGCAGTGAAGTTTTGGCATGTAACATCCAGAAAGGATTCGATTTCTGTCACGGGCGGTTTAGAGAGACTTGCTGGGCGCTTTCACGCAGTGATACGAGAGACACATCGTGGGAGAGAATGGGGTGTCATCACATAATATTCTCCCAAACCAGTGAGTGGGTCCACCGTAGTAAAGGACCTTTTTCCATGCCTGCATAATACTGGGTATATAGGGCTAGACCTATACTGTACAGAAAAATGGGCAGTTGGCGGATGATATGGTCAGCATCACACCAGACACCTTTACTTCCCAGCACTTTCACCTGGTATCCACTTAAGGCTGAGTTGACCTGGAAGCCAAAGTATTTTTTTAAGAAAAAAAAAAGCCCATTCAGAACTGAACCCACGACCTTCAGATCCGCAGGCTAGCACCTAACCGCTACACAACAGCAGTTGCTGGGTATATAGAAGGCAGCCTTGATTATAGAGACGACAAAAGAATAATTAGCTGACCAAAAATGAAGACAATACTGACCTTTTCAAATGTGTGCTGGTGACCTGACATGATTTTAACACACCTCTCTTGCGGTGCGAATGGCCTCACATCCCAAATGCGCACTGAAACAAACAAACACTCCCACTGAGTTCTCCTGGCTGCACTGAATATTATGTCAATACAAGTATATATTGTGGATGGGGTCGTCTCTAGGACGTATGAGGCCTCTGTGGAGTCATTTATTTTACATCCCTAATCCCTCCGCTAAAATATTTGTTTAGACTACCAGCATTCCTCACACCAATTGTGGGAGAAAACAAGAATATAGACTCTGCTCCACAACAAGCATGTCAACCCAGCCATAATTCATCTAGATGTTGGCCATACTTACAAGTATATATTGGGGTCGGAGCCATCTCTAGGGTGGATGAGGCCCCTGTGCAGTCATTTATTTTATATCCCTAATCCCTCCGCTAAAATATTTGTTTAGACTACCATCATTCCTGAAAGCCATTTGGGGGTGGGGTGGGGCAGGGGACATGAATAGACTCAATGCCCCCCAACAATCATATCAAACAAGCCGTAATTCATCTAGATGTTGGCTCACAGGTCGACCTAGCATTCAGGGTCCCTGTGGGTAAAGATTCCACATCACAGCATTCAGGACAAGCCCATATTAGCTTCATCTTCCTCCTCAACAGACATCAGAGACTTGCCATACCGACGGTACTTATCGTCATTTCGTTAACTATTTGTCCGAGCCTCGAGTGGCACCCTCAGCCACTCCTCGCTGCACCATTCTCCCCAGGTAAAGGGTTTTAATATCTTCCATTTTACTCGCAGCCTGGGGAACTATCATTCTTTTTTCCCAGCATGTTTCTGATGTCCTTGTATTAAATTCTCATGCCTTGATCACTTGTATCATGTTTTCTCTAATTCTGTCTCTACTGTTCTTGTCAGGAATGTCTTTTTCTCTCTCTGTTTTTCTGCTGTCAATACCTTGACCAAATAATTATTATCATTAATGTTTGCTGATCTGTTGCCTTCAAGTGTCTATGGACCTAGCCTTATCGTCGTCTTCTTCATGTTAACCAGCTGTAAACTCAGGTGGAAAGTTCCGGTTGTTTTTTCACTTCTGGACTGCAGTTCTGTTCCATAACCTGAGTGTTGCGTGTGCATCCATTTGACAGATCTGACTAATTTGTATGCAGACTGTTGGTGCCTTGCCTTTCAGGCAGATGCACTCTGACTTCGAAGGGAGCTCGCAATTAATTGACTCTTATGACATGCTTTTGGGCAGACAGTGGGCCTATTCTTGTTTTCCCTATAATAGGGCCCTGGAACCCACACTGGGAACATAGCCTTATGATTCCCTACATGATTTACACCAGCTTATGAGTCTTTAATGATAAAATGTACAGGTTTGTGGAGTTCCTATTCAAATGGTGCTGACTCAGTGGGCCAGTATTCTCTTCTTAATGGAGTGTGCAAGGGCAGTCTTACAGGACATGTTCTGTGGTTTGTACTCACAGCCCACATGGGCACAACGGACAACTACCCAGAGCCTGTGCAGATACTTGTTAAGTTTATCATTCCCTGTTCTGAATAATGATCTGTGTCCTAGCCTAAAATTTGAAGTAAAGTGCAGCAGGCGTGATGTTAATCACATCCCCAATTGAGTATCTGACTGCTCTATAAGGAGACAGTTCCAACATTATATGCCCAGCAGTGTATTGTGAGTGATATGGTGAAATATGATGATGCCTTTGATAACTGGCATGCCACATGTTGATGTTAATACTAATTCTGATTGGAGGATACTTACATGTATTGTCCATGGAGTTGGATAAAAGATAGGAACCTTCTGGGCTGATTTCTAAGCCTGTGACTGTGTCGGAGTGTCCTCTCATTTTGTACAGGATAGCATTTTTCCTCAGATCCCACACCTTCAGCAGAAAATGTTGGAATGATTGTATGTTTAAAACTAACAAAAAACAGCTCCACGTATTAGTACTTAAGCTCTTATATTAATTTTCGCTTAAAAAAATCGTACAAGGATTTATTTTTAAGGCATGTCAATTTGTTTTCTAATACAATAAAAATTCATTCATGTACAAATTTCTTTATTTATGCAAATAGTCATGTGATCTTCTTCTGAAACATTGTCATAACTCTCCAAATCCTAAATTCTTGCGACTTCATTATTCCCTTTATGTCTGTGAAAAGATCAAGTGTTAATTGAAGATTTATGAGACAAGACAGATGCGGCAACAAAACTGGCCATTTGGCAACAAGCCTCTCATTCTAGCTGACAGTTTCAACTAGAGCTTGTATTAAAAGCATTCTGAAAATTGTGCCAGGGCTTGATTTTTGAGGAACGACAAAGTAAATGCCATTTCACATTTCTGGATCTCTGGTAAATGGTGCCTTTCAAAATAAAATACAGCTGGCACTTGGCAGGTTATGTGATAAATATCAGGTCAGCTAGCCTTACTTCAGTAAACATTTCTGGGTACCTATTTTCATCCGGGTTAACTTGAACTCAGCATAAGTAGGATACTAGCATACAACCACTGGGCTGAAGGAAAGCATGCTATTATTTGACAACCACAGCTCTCAGTGTTTTTTTTTCTCCTCCTGCACGCCACCAGCTGTGACTGAAGTTTGAACAACGGATCAACATCATGGCACACGGGTAGTAACCCATAAGTGCTCCGATCTTCTTTTAACTCAAGTCTGAGTCTGAAGAAGCTCAGCACAGGCTCTGTAGCACCGGCGGGGATCCTTAAAAGAAATCCTATCTGAATAAGTATTAAACTGTATATATACAAGATTCTGACAATACCAAACTGTCAATCTTGTCCTTCAACAGTAGCTTTAAGAGCACAGAGAAAAAAATCCGATACCATGTTTATTCTTATCTGAATAAGTATCGAACTGTATATATAAGATACTGACAATACCAAACTGCCGATCTTGTCCTTCTAAGGCTGTTTAACTTCTGATCGGATCATTGCAAAAACCAGCTTCTTTACTTCAATCACATGTATTATCTGCCAGCTAAGGAACTTTATTAGGTAACCGAATCTATGTCCAGGCTGTAATGAGCTTCCAACCCGCTCTGTCCAGGATCTTTATGATGCACTCATTCAGACCTCTTCCAATCAATCTTTTGATGTTGTCTGCTCAAAAATAATATTTTGCGCCTGCACTTGTTCATCCCCACCAGATCCCTATCTAGGAGTTGCACCTCTTCCTGGACAAAGTCCTGTAAGCGGGTAATCTGTTTCACATTAGAAATGTTACACAGTAGGTCTACCAACAGTTTGTTGATTGCTGCAACCATAGGATATTGTCCACAAATTGAAGAAATTCAACAGAAGATAAAATATTTCATTCACTATTTTTCTGAAGGAAGTATCAATAGTGCATTTTGTAAAAAAAAAAAAAAAAAGCATGGCAAATGTCTATTCAAAGAGGCGCAGCGATCTGCAAGGCATCTAGTATAAGGGCAGCTGAACAGCGAAGACTGGCTTGAAAGAACCATTATAACATGCCCTCTATCGACAGATGCTGTTTCCTGTCCTCACCGTCCTAGATTCTTCCAGGCTCACACTGGGCTTATAAGTCACCCCTGAACACAAAATGTTATTTTTACAAAACAAAATTCTAAATGTAGAGAAACTTGACATACAAACCTTTAGTTCATTGTCAATGCCTCCAGAGATGATCTGTTCTGCTGTGTCAGTGAATGTGACGGCTGTTACTTGATATGTGCACTGGAATGTGTTTATTGCGCCTTTCTTGCGTGCATCCCAGATCTGTGAAGATTGGGAATAGCAATTTTTATGAAGTTTAGAATCACACCATACATTAAAATGTCTCATGAGTGCGTGTGTTCACAAAGCCATTCCTGTATCTAGAATAAAGGCGGAGAAGGTACAGCCCAATGTAGGTACACGGCCGATGAAATTTTTTGACTGACCCTACTAATTAAAGCAGGCAAATTTTTTAGCTGATAATTTCTTTTCTAAGAACTCGTGCAATGATACTGCGTGTGCTGCATCCAGTTTGTCAAGACTGACTACTTCCAAGATGAACTGCAATTCTAGTGACAGATATTGGTCTTGACCTCTCTGGCAGCTGTCTTAACATTTAGTGCATGGGCATGCTTCCATATTACGTCGGGCTAATACGCTAGTTTTCAAATGGGATCACGAAGAGCATTTTGTGTGATTCGTACAAACAAAGGAACGGAGCAATTAAGGAGTGACCTGTTCGATACTAACGACAGGTCAGACATTAAGTATCAGTGGCAGAGAAAGGGATGCTAACGCATGATGAAACTTCCAAAATTCAAAACAAAAGATAGAATATGACTGAATTTGTCTTTTTATGCTAAACATTTTTAATATGGAACAATTCAAAGAGAAGCAAATTTGCAATAAAATATATACAGGCATTCATATAAAGTTAAACACAGGATCAAAACCACCATACCAGCCTTTACTCCATATGGCTCGGGCTCCCTCAATAGAAGCAGCTAGCCACCTGCTGAGAGCATTGCACAAAGCAGGAATCCTGTAGCTCCAGCAACAACCCTGGGAGAACTCCATAAAAATGGCACTTCTTAACCAAATGATGCAGTCCATGAAAAGAATCTGCTATTTTCAAAACAATCAGCTTGTCCACAAGGATCCCCTCTCCCATAAATAAATGATATATGCCCTTACAACAAAAAGCACAAAGATTATAGCCGCCCCTGTAAAAGCTGATGGATATTAGATATTTCCATCTGTCAAATTTTACTACCAAATTTCTAACTTTCTTCATTATAGTCACAGAGTAGTAAGTAGAAGTAAAGGTCCCCTTTCCACGCCTTTAGGCGGATAGGGTTATACCTAAATTCTTATAGACCAATCAGCACAAGATGGGTGATGTGGTCAGCATCACATGAGTCACAGAGTAGTTACAAACAAAAAATTTGTTACATTCACTAAATTACAAGTGTTCAGAAAAACAAGTACCTTAACTGTGCCATCATCACTGCCACTGCATAAGAGTTGTGGGCCCCTGCGTGCAGCACTTACAGTATTCACAAATGTCTGATGACCTTTCAACTTGCGCATCCGATCCCCAGTTTCGATATCCCAGACAGCAATTGTCTTGTCGGTTGATGCAGAAAACAGCATGCTAAGGAAAGGAAACATGTTACCTTTAACTATGAAGGGGAAAAAACCTTTTAATTATGGGCTACGCCGGAAATATTGTTCCAGCACTGGCTTATCAACATAGGGAGGGACTCAAGTTCAGTACTCAGAAGCTGAGTGGTAGCAGAGAGTGGGAATCTCCTTCTTCTTCTTCACGTCCACCTGCTGTAAACTCCAATGGAAAGTTCTGGTTGTTTCATCCACCTCTGGATTTTAGACTTGTTCCAGAACCTGAGTGTTGCGTACACATTCGTTTCACTGATCTAATTTATTTGTAAGCAGACTGTTGGTTCCTTGTGTCTCAGGCAGATGCACTCCGACTTCAAAGGATACCCCCAATTAGTCGACTCCTACGAAATGCTTGTTGGGGAGGCAGTGGGACTATTCTTGCCCCCCCCCCCCCCCCACAATGGGGAAGAACAGGATTGAATATGCTTTGTAAGAGATATTTCTTTGTGCTTATTGGGATTGTCGTATGCTGTGCCGATACTTAGTCTCCTTTACTGGCAGGATGCTAAATTTTTCATTGAATTCCTTGTTCCAGTAAATGTTGTTGCCAGATATTTAAACTCAGATACCTGTTCAATACCTTTGCACTCTACTGCTATATCAAGGCTCTGCTTCTTTCTTCCCATTGACAATACTTCTGTCTTTTCAGTGTTGGAGCTCATTTGTTTTACATTCTTCATTCATGGATGTAAGATGCTGCATGTTCACAGCTGTCTCTGCTATCCAGGCCAGGTCATCAGCAAAGAGTCTTCACCGATGTAATTCACTCCTGGGTTTGACATCCTTGCATATACTGGTGACGACAAACAGCAGAGGTGATAAGACACAACCCTGTATTACTCCAGATGTCATGATGAATGCCTTAGATGCTCCCTCACCCCTAACTCCCCAAAATTGGGATTTTTTGCTAGATTCTGATTAATATTATTTCCTCAATACCTGTATTAGAAAAAGTGAATCTACATTCTCTGGGCATGCTACGAGAAGGAAAACGAGTGCATTATGACAGTGATTAAGCTGAAGGAGAAGAAAGGCAGATGGAGAAGCTGCTAGATAGTCTGACATCACGGCACGGAGAAGCACTTGTATCAGACACTACAAGAGACAGAAGGCCACAGGCAGGCATGCCAACACACACTAAATGACAAGGAAGAGAAAACTATCAAAGCAGAAAATATCACAGCTGTTGAATTATGAATCAACATCACAGGACTCTGGACACTCCCATAAGTGCTCAGTCCCCATCTTCAGCAGCAACCAAAGAGTTCCAATTCCGAATGTACCAGTAACTGTCTCATTGTATATGCATCCCATCCTTCCCCTGAGTGTTCAGCATCAGCCAGATCCCCTGGTAACTCCCTGCAGCACCATTCTCCTTAGACCATAATGATCTATCTGTACCTCTGCACTGTTTACTTGTTCCCAAAAGACCCTCACAATATCTAACTTGTCATATCACAGCTGTCTTCTTCTTATCCTTAAAATTCCATGGACAGCCAAAAGAGCAACCCAACTATTTTTAAAGAGACGTGGGCTTAAGAAAAACATCACAAATATCAGAAAAAGACAGTCATCCTTTTTTTGAGTCATGTTTTGAGAAGAAGAAACTGAAATATGATGTGACCACTGGAAAAAACTGTGGAAAGAGACAGAGGAAGACGATTCTTGACAGCCTTTTGTGATGGCTTGAATGGATGTTAACACACGAACTGACACTTCCATTTAAGATCGCAGATTGTGGAGAGGCATGATCGTTCATGACACTTCATGATGATGATTTCTTCTTCTGCATTTGTTAAAGGGGTGCCTAGCAATAATGTTGTGGTTTGTAGCTAGGCTGCGATATGTGCACCTTTCAGCCCAACAGATATGCTTTAAGTAAATTCTTAATTAGCCACTCTTGATGACAGGCCTGTTAACAGGCAATGGATCTATTATTTTATCAACCCCGTTTTTTTCTTCTTCTCCAAACGGGATCCAAGAACTCATGCAGAGACCACCCCAGCTATCTTAACCAGTAGCTACTGACCTTCCATCTGTGGAGAACTGTATTTCCATGACAGCTCCTGTGTGTCCTTTCAACACTGCAATGTTTTCACACTCACCATAGACAGTCCAGAAATCTGAAACACAGTGCACTGAATCAATCTTCTATGACAGCATCAGATTCTACAGTAGCACAGCGACAGCAGATGCAGCAGTTATACTGAAGCCCTATGTTCTTTTTGTTTTCTAGCTATGCTTTTTTTTGGGCGGGCCCTGACCACCACCCCCCCCCCCCCAAAAGCTAGTTATAATACATGATATATAAATAAATTACATGAAATCTGAGAGTTAAAGCAGGTAGGAAACATAGTTTAAATGTTTATAGAAACAGTACTAAAGCAAAGAAATCATAATGCACAGGAAGCATATTCAAAGAAGACAGCACACACAACAGAAATAAAAACTAGGATCAAGAAGGTAAATGCTGTCAAATGCCCCAGCTCAGACACTGAAATGTCTCCCTTCTGGCGAAACAACAAACAGCGCCTTCATCCCCAATTTGTGCTATCAGTGCCAAATATAGACAATGAGTAGATCACAGGAACAGAGATTAAGTTAGTTTCACACCCTTTACAGGATGTTGCAGAAGTAGCAACAGCATATGTTGGCTGTTTTTGGTTTTACTAAGAAATTTTACATTCAGTAGTAAGCCACTGCTTTCTGAATGCACTGACCTCAATAACCCTGTCGAAATCAATGCAAAATGATCTATTGTCAAACTGCCTGCAGCTGGAATCTAGCAGGACACCTTGGAATTAACAGTGCATACTCAATTACTAACCACAGATGCCAAGGAAAGGGGGGGGGGGGAATTGGAGAAGGGAGAAACAGTTACAATAGTCAACCAGTTACAATAAACAGAAGGACTAGGGTACCAAAACAATAGTCCTAGTCGAGGCTTCAACTTCACTGCAATCGGGTTTCCCTACACTTGCTCTGTTCTTGTGCCAGTGCAAATCAAATGAAATGTAATTCGCTGTTTAATTTGAAAAACTGGTGAACAAACAATTAGCCCCGGAACAATCCAGAAATTATCGTACGCAGTAAATGCATATGGCAGTTGCCAGAGCCAACCGTCAGCACCAGAAATGCAGTCTGTCGTTGATGGAAGTAGTCAGGCACGGTAAGTTAGCTATACACACCCAGAATTATTACAGAAGGTATTTCACCAGCTCACACTTAAACCAGCTGCCATACAGAATACCACAACATAATTGCTGCACAAATGAAAGACATTCCACATGAAAAAACACAGCTCACAAGGCTGCACCAAGCATTAAACTCAGTAGCTCAGACAGGAAACTGTTACCAAAACAATACTCACATATCAATCTATCAAATCCAGCAGAGGCTACATATTGACCATCTGGAGAGAACTTGCCACAAAAGATATCCCCTTCATGTCCAGTCAACAGCATGATTGGTGCCAGCAAGTTTGATGTTCTTTTAGGACCCTGTATTTCAAACAGGAAGTTGTTCCATTCTGAACATTTTACAGCAAACAATTTAAACGTCATTTTAAAATACCCACAATGACACTCATCTTCTTCTTTTTTTTTGCGTTCATCGGCCGGAAACTCTGGCTTATTCATCCACCTCTGGACTTTATGCTTGTTCCAGAACCTGAGTGTTGCACACACATCCGTTTTACAGATCTGACTTATCTGTATGCAGACTGTAAGTTCCTTGCTTCTCAGGCAGATGCCCTCCGAAGGAAACCCCCAATTAGTAGACTCTTATGGCAATATTGTTGGGGAGGCAGTGAATCTATTCTTGTTTCCCCTAAAATGATGCCCCAGAACTCACACAGAGAATTATTACATTAAAAATGGTCTCTTATCTTTAGCTGATTGAACATGTTGTATTGCAGCCTTTTATGTCCCCTTGTAGTCTGAAGATTGCTGCCTGTTCTCTCTTGTCAAGCTGGTTTTGTGCACTATCTTACTTGCGAGAAACCTGGTCTTTCGAAAGGCTCTTGCCCTGCTCTCTAGTGTAGTTGGCTAAACCGGATTGCGCGGAGACCGGGTGACGAACTCCTTGTGGTCCGGGTTCAATCCCGGGGGTGGGCAGGAAAGCCACATTTTCTCCCAGATTTACGGTATTTAAAATGGAATCAAGGCCGAAAGGTTGCGATATCCATAATACCGAGCCTAAGGGTTAACAACTCATGGCTTCTGGATACTAAAACAACAAACAATCTAAAGGCTCAACTGCAGATCCCAAGGTCGCGGGTTCAAATCCAAACAGAGCCATAATTTTTGTTTTAAATGACCTTGGCTCCCAGGCAGACCCAGCCTGACAACGTTTTGGGCATATAGGGCTAGACTATATTTTACAGACCAATCGGCGGGTGATGTGGTCAACATTATGCCAGCCGTCTTTATTTCACAGGACTATACCTGATACCCAGCCAAAGCTGGGTCAATCTGGGAGCTATTGCCATTTTTTCAAAAAGCCCAGCTCCATCAGGACCTGAACCCATGACCTTCTGATCCGCAGGTGAGTATCTAGCCACTACACAACAGCACCTATGTAAGATCACTTAATCTTGTTAGCATACTTGCTTAGTGCAAGACAGGTTTCTGTTGGTATCAGGATGATTTTACCAGACAAGTGTTGGCTCTGGGGTTGAACCAATACCATAAAATGGATGTAAGATGATTTTTAGAATTCGCTTGAAGCAAATGGTGGCCCAAGTCAATAAATTCAAATATTTGGGAAGAATCATATCATCAGATGGAAAGTGTGTGACAGAGACTAAAAGCAGAATAGGTCCAGCGAAAGTTGCATTTTAGAATATGAAAAATATCTTATGCAATAAATCGCTCTCATTTAATGTCAGAAAGAGGGTGCTAAAATGTTACACAGAACCTGTTCTGCTGTATCGCAGCAAATCTTGGAATGTCAGTGAACAAATTAGGAAGAATTTTGAAGCAACAGGGATGTGGTGTCTGAGATGAATGTTACAAATATCCTGGACAGTCAGAGTAACTAACAACAATTGCAAGTAGATCTCTATATACAACGATAAGAAAGAGACAAACACTGTTCTTGGGCCATATAAGAGAAGACAGACATTGGAGAACAATTTGACAACTGGAAAGATCAATGAAAAAAAGGGGTAGAACAGAACAGACAAAGAGAGATGATGCTGGGTGGGCTGAAACAATGGCAAGCAGGGATATCAAGAGCGTCTATGCCAATTGGAAGGGCACATGGTGGCTTGTCAGCAATATCCTGTGGTGGCCTGTAATTGCAAGGGCTTCTTAAAGCCCATGCCATATGACATTGGCACTCTTCCGAACGCCGGTCCCAAATTATTCAAAGAACGAAATTTCAGAGTCTTCGGTAGTGCAGTTGTAAGTATCCTGCCTATCACGGGGGTGATCGGTGCGTAGGATTCCCCGGCGGACGGCTAATTTTTTTTCTTCGCTTTTAAAATGGTGGTTGGCACGTTGTGTTGTGGTTTACAGCTAGGCTGCAATATCTGCGCTTTTCGCTCGGTCTTGTGGTTACAACTAGGTTGCAATAGCGGCAGCAAGATGCCTAATGGTCATGTCACGGTAGGTAATCCTCTTTCTTTTTGTTCGCCCGTGAAAGGGCGGTAGGCATGTTGGATTGTGGTCTACAACTACGCTGTGATATTTGTGCCTTTCGACCCAACACATCCGATTTCAGCAGTCCTAATTAGTCACCTTTTACAATATGCTTTTTAGGTGGCAGTGGATCTATTTTTTCTCTCTCTCAAACATGTGGCTTTGGAACCCAGGGTAATGTCTTGTCGGTAGTTGGAAGGGCCTCATTACGTGGATATTAGTTTACAGAAGTCGATTATTGGTTGATTTTAATAGTCCCTGGTTAAACAGATACAGCCTAATAATGACTTGTGAAATATATTGATCTGAGTATCCTCAGAAGGGAAAAGGTGTTTAGAGATCGAGATATACTTTTGGTAAGATGATGAAAGATGAAGACTGCAGGTTACTTATAAATTGCTTCAGTAACGTTTGCACCTACTTTTCACTGTTTACATGCAGCAGTTCAAATACTGCCATTTTTTAAATTGTTATTTTCAAAATATGGTTAGATTTTCTCTTTTGGCAAACAGTATGAAAGTATAATAGAATGTGCTCTCTGCCTTACCACTGCAACATGTCGTTTGCCTGTTCTGTCTCTAGACTTACAAGTCTTTTAGCTCCGCCCTCTCAAACATTTGACTATCTCTGTCCTCATATCAATCAGGTCACAGGCATCAGTAAATTTTCTACCATGTTGGTTCCATTGTCCAAGTTCCGCCTTGGTGATTACGAGTTTGCAGTAATTATAACATCACTAGGTAGGTTCCGTGTATCACATTTATGTGCGAAATTCACCTGCTTAGGCAACTGGACTTCAAAGTTGTCGGCTGGTCTGAGAATGCCCACTACATCTCAACTCTAACCTGTGGTAATTAGTCACCTGCCTGTCGGCAAGTTCAGATGGTCATGTCTTCTGTCCGCCTGACTGGAAGATTGTATAATTCTTCAAACATAGATGTGTTCCCTGGTCCAGCTGTTGAGCTAACGATAAATTCCACTGAGATAAACTAATGGTTCATCAGACACTTTGATCACTGTTTGGAAGATCAATTGGGTTAGCTGTTCAGTTACCTCATTGTGTTTCACTTTGTAAAGGTTTCTGTTGGGTTTGTGTACTTTCTTTGCTTTTAGAAGGAATTCTGGACTAACTGAATGCCCCTCGTAACAGTTTCCTTGCGAATTTTTGCACTTGAGTGGATTATTGCTTATTGTCTTCTTGTGAGGATAGTTACTTATCGGCAAAAGTTGCCAATAAAGTGGGAATATTTCTTTGATAATTTGTGCAGCTACCTGTAATTATTACTATGGCAGGCAGACCATCGGCTCCAACACAGATCAGCAATAATATTCTTCAAGTTGATCAACTGGCAGCTGCAGATGTCAGACCTGATGATTAATATAGAATAATGAACGATAAACTACAGTGATTGCAATGGCTTGCTACGCACAGATTAATACGGAACTCAGTAGACTGTTGGTCTTGCAACCGTCAGATGTCATTTGTGTGATGGCTAGAATGTTCAAATAGATTCTGGTGGCGATGTTGTCACTTTAATACTCGTTGCAGTGTACAGACAGGTTCATTCTTTGCCAATTGTGAACTCCCAACTGTGATGGTAATGTTTTACTGGTTGTTCGATGTGAAGCTAAAACATTATGTTTTTGGAGAGGTTGACGAGCTGTGATACTACAGTCAACTACAATAATTATTTCCGGGTAGAGTGTTACAACTGGCTGCTTAGCAAACCTCAGTTGGGAGGATTTGATGCCAACGGACAGTCAGTGGTTGTTGAAGTTGTGAGAGCTATTTTTTCCAACGCAAGTACCATCGTGGTTACTTTCATTGTGGTCAATGGGTAGTTGGGCTAGTTGAATGTGGTAGTGGTCGTTGCTGGTTGGAAGTTGTTCATAGGCGAGATGCGACAACATTGCAACGCATCATAAGTGAGCGTGTGTTACCAGGAACGACAATTGTCACCGATGCCTGATGAGGCTACAACAACTAAACAATAGCTATTATGATCATCTCGTTGTTGCTCATGCTATTAATTTTGTTGACCGTGTACATAGAGAAATTCACACCCAAACAATTGAAGGGCTGCGGATGCAAGTCAAAAGGAAACGGTGTTTTCAAGGCGGCACAAGTCGTGCATTGTTTAATACATATTTAGCAGAATTTCAGAGGTGCCACAGTCACAAAGAACATGTTTTCAGACAGTATTTACAACTGCGGTGTCACAATTTTAACACATAACTTTCAAATATTATTGGCAGAGTTGTATTTAATTTTTTTCTGCCTTTCCTTCTTATCGGTCTGTCGTTTCATTTTCGCGGTGACCATACTAGCTGGTGGTACACACTTCATTGATACTGAACATCCTCTTTGGTTTAGATAAGTTGTAGCCAAGAAGATCTCCTCTGCTATGGCATTTCTACTACACATCTTAGTATTTTTAGAACCATAGCCGTAGATATGGAATCGTTGCAAGTATAAGGCAGCCCTCTCTTCAATATATATCAAATGCATTAGATATTTCGAGAAACAGGCCGGCAGTTTTTTCCTTCTCTGAAATCCTGATTTGGCTTCTTCCTGTAATTTATTATTCTGATTAAATATGCTTGGTGTTATATATATTGTTTTCCTCTGAGCAAAATTTAAATCTTTGATTGACTAAATTTTTTAGTATTTTACATAAGGGAGATGCCAGTAAAATTGACGTGTATGATTCTGCATTGAGATCTTCTTTTCCTGTTTTTAAAACAGGTTTTAAGTTCTTGTGCTCACAATGTTAAGTAAAATATGTTAAAAAAATTAATATTGTGCAACTGTGTGTAGCTTATTTATCTTTATTTTGAAAATGCCACTTTGTGAAGGGGAAAAAAAGGGGAAGGGGAGTGACACATGTTTCCGCACCGGGTACTGCACAACCCATCAATCAATAAATCGAAAACTATTTCTCCCTACTGCGCTTAATGGCAGAAGTGGAAACTGATAATGATGATGATCTGAACACTGCTACACATCGATATATGGATTGAAAACTATTCCTCCCCACACCGCTTAACTCTAAACATTGCTATTCATTTAGCAAATAATGGCAGAAGTGAAAACTGATGATGATCTAAACATTGCTACCCATTGACACGGCGCTTCAATGGATTGAAAACTATTTCTTTCCATGCCGCTTAACTCTAAGCATTGCTATTCATCGAGCAAAAATGGCAGAAGTGGAAACTGATGATGATCGCCTGCATTATTATTTCACGGTGCTTAACGTAACGGCAGAAGTGAAAACTGATGACGATGATCTAAACATTGCTACCCATCGATCAATTCAATGGATCGAAAACTATTCCTCCTCAGGGCGCTTCAATCGATCGAAAACTATTCCTCCCCACAGTGCTTAGCTGTAAACGTTGCTATCCACTTAACAATAACGTCAGAAGTGGAAACCTGATGATGGTGAAAAATGATGATGATGAACATGGCCTAAATGATTTTTGTATTCAGCTTCTTATATTTTAGTTGTTTCTGTTCCGTCGTATTTTTTTTTTCACCTCTTGGGGCTCTCAAAGGGATGTTTTTGGCAGTAAATAATTTTGGACCGGTATTCAGAAGAGTGCCCAATTATACTAGTAAATACAATCGTCAATACAATTAATACATTATAATTATTAATATTATTATTCATTATACTGATTTATACTCATATATACATATACAGGATAATACACTATTTTTATTAAATTATATGCCGCTGCAGTTACAGGAAAGAATTAATAATGGTAATTCTACAGCCCACACTAGATATGCAGTAGTTTAAAAACAAACAGGGTACTCTAAACTAAACAGCGGTAGGTAAATAGCATAAACACAGTTGTTTACACAGGCCAGACACAGTGGCAGTCGGACAGCATTTAGTATTATCGAAAACTGGTTTGAAACAACAAGACTTACAGACTGGATGATCTGACTTGTGTAATGAATTCCAGAAACAACCAACTCTTGTCTAGGTCTTTTAAAAGGCACCATCGCCGAGTCCATAGCTTTCCTCTTCAAATCCATCATCATCTTTCCTTTGAAAACCAAAACAAATTTTCACTGTTAGTTAATGTTGTTTTGTGATGAAAACGAATTCGAAGTAACACAGGAAACGAAATTGTCGTGACTTCGACACGAGAAGAGTTACTAAACAAGGGGAAGCAATTCAAGGAATTTGGAATGCAACTTGAAAAACTGTTAAAAGCGAATGGAAAAACATAACACCCAAATCTCTTAACAATTCGAACAACGGAAAGGCAAAAAGGATCTTAATAATAGCAAAACTGTAGCTGCTAAATCTACAGCTCATGAATAAACACATAAATCAATAAAGAAATTAGAAGGCGACCAAGGCAGATTAAAGGAAATATGTAGATGACCTGGCACAAGAAGCCGACACAGAAGAATAAAAGGAACCTTTAGAGACCTTCACAGTACCACAGGGCAATCAACCGACACAGAAGAATCAAAAACAACCTTTAGAGACCTTCACAGTACCACAGGGCAATCAACCGACACAGAAGAATCAAAAAGAACCTTTAGAGACCTTCACAGTACCACAGGGCAATCAACCGACACAGAAGAAACAAAAAGAACCTTTAGAGACCTTTACAGTACCACAGGGCAATCAACCGACACAGGAGAATCAAAAAGAACCTTAAGAGACCTTTACAGTACCACAGGGCAATCAACCGACACAGAAGAATCAAAAAGAACCTTTAGAGACCTATACAATACCACAGGGCAATCATTCAGCGGGTTAATATAGTCAACCAGCTCGATCAGTAAAAATAGGCTAAGGAATGCTCTTACCGACATTAAAGATCAGCTGAATGTGGTCAATAACTTCTCAAAAGACTTGGCCCAGAAACAAAGGTCCTTCCAGATATTAAGAAGTTAGCAATGGGACGTGATAATGTGAGATACCATCTGAAGAGGAAACTGGGAAAGCTATCCAGCTTCTAAAGGACAAAAAGTCTCCAGGTCTACATGGTATCCCAGCACTAACTTCATAGCTGAGGCAACTGCCCTCCTTTCTGCAGTCCAACATCTCATCACTCAAGAACACAGAGGGCACAAAATTGTTATACTTAGTGACTCATTATCTGTACTTCAAGCACTATCGAGCAAAAAACAAGACAAACTAATTGCAGATCTAAGGACCAACATTGGCTTACTCTCCAAGGAAGCAGAACTGGTCTTGCAATGGATACCAGCCCACTGTGGTATTCAAGGAAATGAGAGAGCAGATGAGTTGGCAAAAGCTGGGAGTAATCTTCCACAACCTCATCCACCACACAGCTACAAGGAAACCAAAAACAGCGCTAAAGCAGTCTTTCAAGCGGGAGTGGAGAAGGCAGAATGGAGATTACAGACCAGAGAGTGACAGCATAAACAAACTCAACAGGAAAGAACAAACAACAATTTTTAGACTTCGGACTGGACACTGTGGTCTTAGAGCACACCTGTATAGGATAGGCATAAAAGAATCCGCTGCCTGTGATTGTGGAGCAGAAAGACAGACCCCTGGGCACCTACTATAGTACTGCTCTTACCTCTCCCAGCAAAGACTGTGGATATGGCCCAAGGGAGCCACATTGAAAGAGGAACTATAGGTGACCGGTGGCGACCTTAAACGCACAATCCTATTTGTGACCCAGACGGGACTCAATGTTTAGCATGACTTATGTCGAACGCAGAAGAAGAAGATGAAGGATTGACACACTCCTCGACTTCTGCGGTTTGAATTGCATACCGCTCCATTGGACCACCGCGTCCAAACTTTTCAGATTCCTCGCTGCCCGTGATTATAGTCGTGTCATCCATAAATGCACGTAGTGGCGGCATCCAATTTAAAGGCCTTTTCCGTAGCCGGCCGCCCCGTCTAACATGACCTGCATGGCCATAACGAACAGTGTTGGTGAGATCGTACACCCCGTGGCTATCTCAACTTGGAGCTCAGTCCACCTCGTAGTAGACGTCGAGGTAGAGAAGCGCATAGCGAACTTAGAGAAATATTGCTCGATCATTTCGTTGATCTGTGTCGGTACGTGAAACATGCGAAGTGCCTGCCACAGTAGCTTATGGGGAACTGCCCCATAGGCGTTGGCAAGGTCCAACCCTATAACGTGCAATTCAGTTCTCTCATGCTTGGCCCTCTGGATAGACTTCCAAATCATGGTCGCGTGTTCAAGGCACACAGGGACGCCTGGGATACCACCCTTTTGAACACTCGTGTCGATGTACTTGTCCCATACATCGGTTGCTCGAATAGACCCCGCGCAAACTGGATCGGGTCCCTAAAGAATGTCTCCCGCTTCCTTTTGGTTCTCCTTCTATTATTGCAGAAACGCTACGCTCGACAGAGGGCACTGTGTCTGTTTCTCAAGTGCAACCAGACCTCATGCAGCCCCTCCCGTTCGCTGCCTGTAGCGGTTTTGAACCGTTTTCTGATTGCATTTTTGTCTGCCCGGCACTTCAGAATGTCCCTCTGTCTCCTGCTTATATTCTGCTTGATGCCCGGCAGCGCCTTTTCGACTGTCCCGAACTCGCGGGGACAGTGCTCGCATATTACATTGCCAAACATTGTAAGCTTATTACCTAACGACTTCTTTTTTAAATCATGATTGAGTTTCTCACATAATGTACCTTCTAACTTACACCAAGACACCTTATCGCTCGCAGGTGGAAACCTGACCTTCGAACGCACTTCTTCAGGAATCACAAATTTGCGCCCCAGCAGTCGACGTCATGTGCCTCTCCGGGCGTGTGGGGTATACACTGGCCGTCATTCCACAGGAGTAGTAGTTTTGCGACGATGTTTACTGCGTGGTACACCCTCGCATTTCATCCTTCCAGCATGCGTTCTCAGACCATGCAACCCCGTGAAGCGCTTTCCACATGTACAGAACCAACCAGGCCGTTGGGCAAAAATCGGAGTTCGGGGGCTAGCAAGGTCGTCACCGTTTGTATCAAATTGATTGGGTCCATCATTCCAGCCCCCCTCTTTCGATGGACCCTGGGGGCATACTTCTTTATTTGTTCGCGAAATCAGAGGTATTATATTGTTTTAGGGGTGATCAACCCGGTCCACAGTCGTCATCTGTCTCCAGATGTCAGTTACCCCCCCCCCTCCCACCCCCCCCCCCGGCGATACCGAGGGGCCAGTCTTTCCATAGGTGTCAAAAGGTCTTTCCTGGTTGTCTTGTGGGCTATCCACGTACAATAAGAAGAAACTCCACAGGGAAGCATGTACAGCAGGAGTCTACCAATCACCAGTAGGAGTAACCTCTCGTCGACAAATGTTTCGGCCCACGAGCTTCTAGACATGAGCTCCTCGAAGATGTACCAGCAAAGTGTCCAAGAAAGGTGACCTGCGGGCAGGGCCATATTAACCATTAATGCACACTAAGAACGTGTTTGAAGCATCACAAAGAGAGGGGGACCTCACATAAATCCTTAATCGCCTTGCAGCTGAGCGTTTATTTTCTCGGTTAAAATAATTTTTAAAAAATCAGAACAACAATACGACAAGGTAGGCTTGATGCTTTATCTCTATTAGGTATAGAAGCAGATGTGTTACATAAGATTAGTTTGCGATTCTGGCCAAATATTTCGCAGTTATAGAATTTGATTTGATTAAATTTGATTTAAGAAAGACATCACAGCACTCGGGGTATTCCCATAATCTCCGTCCCCTTCTTCAGCAGCCAGCGAAGAGTTCCGATTTTAATGGTGCCAGTAGCATTCTGTCAGTCTTGCCTTTCCTCTGAGCCTCGAGCATCTGCCAGAACCTCTCGTCACCCCCCCCCCCCCCCTCCCTGCATCAATCTCACCAGACGGTGGTGATCCACCTGCTCCTCCGAACTGTACACGCTCTCCCAAAAGGCACTAACCACGTCTGAATTATCATGTATCAGTATTCTACCAAGTTGTGCAGAACTAGCCAGTCTGTCCGTCTGTTCATTTCCCAACACACCGCCGTAACCCGGTGAAAAAATCAAGACAATACTCCTCACTCGTGTCCTCCGCAGCGAAGCATGCCACTCTGCACGAAGCATGCCTGTCCTGATCTTCCTCAGCATACTTTCTGAGTCAAATACAATCACGATGTGTGTGTGTGTGTGTGGGTCGTGTGATCTAACCATCGGAAGGCTGCAGTGACCGCCTCCACCTCCATTCTTATGCTGGATGTTGTGGTATCACATGCTAGGCTCTCCTGCACCAAACGTCGACCATTAACTTTTGCTAAGAAGCCCCAAGCACTTCTTTTGCCTCTTGACACTGAACCGTCTGTGTGAATGATCAAATCCTCTGAGCGAGCATTATCTTGAATTAATTGCTGAATTTCTGGCCAGGCTCTGCATTCCCGGCTCAGCGTGATTATGACCCTACACAAGTCTGACTGTTCAGGTGGCACTTTGACCCACTCTTCTCCTCGCCTAATGTTCTCAAGGATGCAAACTGTCTGTGTCTTCTGCCTGAGCCATCCATGACTTTCCTCTTATCAGCCGCTGACCCTTAACTGCACCAGGAGTTTCGTGCAAAGGGTGGTCTGTGTCTGCAGCTACTTTGAGATACGACATCGCCTGCAGCACCTTGTGCCTACCTGCTGCAACAGTCGGCAAACCAAGGATGTATCGCATACACATCACTGGGTGTCTCTGGTGCAACCTAGAATGACCCGCATAGCTGCGTTCTGTATGCGCTCTAGTTTGTCCTTCTGACTCGTTGAGACTGTAGGCAGTCCCTGGCTATAATCAACCACTGACAGGATCAGGTGCTGATGTAGTGTAAAAAGCATTCTCTGCTCTATGTCAGTTGCATCCATAGTCTTAAGTGCACTAAGTCCTTTGTGGCATTTTGTCACAACACTCTCCACGCGAGTTAGTAGTTTTTCAGATGTAAATAAAGTGGAACAATACAAAAATATACATTTTCCATCTTACTGTATGTTTCGTTTAATTTCTACTAACAAAATTTAATTTTTGATTTGTTATTGTTTCTATTTCGAATTACATGTACATGGT